ATATCAGGGCCTCCTTTCCTAGCTAAATCCAGCAAGTACTGGAAGAGGAGATAGGTGTGACAACAGTTATGATCTCAGCTAAGGCACCGTAAGCCAGAACAGATAAACTCAACTCACACGCTTCCAGCAAGTTTAACAGGTGGAGTTGGCGCAGCGAGCACCTTGGTACTTTGTAAGGTAACCCTGACAGTATCTGTCACACACAGGATTTTAAAACCAGAAATTTAGCCCACCACTTCAAGGGGTAAAAAGCAAGGCAAAATTTCTGCACCTTCACCCATGCACACAGTAACCCCACTGTCATTTTATGTGGACTGTTAAGAACCACCTGACTATTGGTCTGAGACCCACCCCTGCAGCTTCCATAATACAGACATGGAATGTTGCCTCTTTGGAAGAAAACATTTTACCCCTTATAGCTACAGAGGAAACAGCTTCCTACACGCTTCAGTGTTCTTTTTCTCATATCACTGTGGGGTGTTTTATAAAGACAGGCTTCCATCCCCATCCATCCATCCATCCATCCATCCATCCATGCATCCATCCAATACCTCTTTCAACATCTAAGCGTAATGAAACAATAAGCAAGAAAATATTTACAAGACATTTCACTTGGCAGCAATTAGCTGACAACAGCATCCACAGAAGATTTCCTCAAGGGTTTACAGGCATCAAAATCAGAGTTTTGTATCTATTCTATACCACTCCCGGTGAAGCTGAGAATTCAGACAACTATGTATTTAGCAACCTTACTTGTTTCAGAATGACAGAAATGGTAGAAAATGAAGGCAGAATGACTCATTAATAGGAGAGTAAGGGGTAAAGGGGCAAATGCAGGAAGCAGGGGACAAGGTGGGCATGGAAAAAGGACACAAGCGAGAGCTATGAGAGTTTCAAAGCCTGGTATTTGCCAACATCGCAATGTTTCTAGTGTTCTCATATTATAAAGGCCACTAGAAAACCAAAAAGGCAGCATTCATTAAAGGAAAGGCTCCTGAGAACTGTGGATGCACAAATACCGAGGCAGTTTGCTGACAAGCTAATCTCTAGAGAGCACGGGGAAGCGATGACCATGCCCTGAAGACACTCACATTGCGGGAAGCGAGGATCTGCTTGAGCAGGCGGTAGAAGTATTGCTGCTGGGAGCTCAGGTAGCGTTTGTACTGGGACTTGAAACAGAGCTGCCGGTACTTCACAACTTCAGGGTTAAAGTGTCCATCTGTAAGGAAGAGGTAAAACACGCTTCGTTTTTTTCAACTGCCAGTTGAGAACTTCACCCTAAAGACACACAAAAGTTTATTACGCTCACTGACCCCGGAAGAGTTTCTGGGCGATGTGCAGAGGATTTCCAAAACGGAAGTTTTCGCCACTGAACAGCGCAGAGATGAGTTTGTTTTGATGTTCTCGGTTGTTTTCAGGAAAGTGAGGCAGGAATTTTTTTAGGTGGTCTTGCTGCGCATCTGTTAGCACCTCCTGCCATGTAGACAAGCTGACAACTTCAAAGAAGATCTCAGGCTAAAGAAAGCAAAAAATAATAGCAAAGAAAATGCATCCACGTCCTTGACAATTTTCTAGGCCTTAAGGCTTTCTGTGGTTAAGTAACACAAGTCATGAGACAGCGTCTCATCGAATGCAGAAAACAAGAGGAAAGGTGAGAAAGTGAATGATACTACTAGCAAGGAAATAAATTCAAAGCTTGTCACAAACAAAGCTTTCTCAAAGGCAATTTTAAAATTAGACAGAACTAGTGGAAGGTGTCCCAGCCCATGGCACAGGGGTTGGAACCATGTGATCTTTAAGGTCCCTTCCAACACAAACCATTCTATTATTATTTAAGAAAAGAATATAAAAGAATGGTTTCAAAAGATATTTTCCTGATACTAATGAAAGCTCTTTTTGAAACCTTTTCCAGGACAGTCAGAAACATTTCCCCCTCGTTTCAGTTTGCTCTACAAGCCTCACAAAGGGAGTTAAACACACGCTTTAGGAAGGCTCTGAAGAAGAAATCTCCGCACAACTCACGTCCTCCAGAAGGTCCTCGGGCAGGCTGACTCTGGTGGTGCCCAGCATGCAGTCCTCCATGATGCGTGTGCCATGTCCCTCCCCGCAGGGTCCCAGCTCCAGGGGGTCCGTCAGCATATGGTCCAGCGAGTCCATCCTTCACCCTCTCCCGCCCCTGAACAGCGGCAAAACGCTCAAGCACCAAAACCCCCAAACCCCGGTACGTGCCCAGCTGAGGAATGGCCGCGACGCCGCGCTGGATGAAGCGGCAAGCTACAGATCGGGGCTGCGGGGCAGGCGAGGCGTTACGGCGCTAATGTGCTCTGCCACTACAACACAAGGCACGCCAACAACATGTTTTCCCGGAGAGCGTGCGCCGTGCCCCGGTACAGGCAGACTGGAGGGTACGGGTGGCCGATTTCACCTCGCTTCTCACCTGCGGGAGCTGTTACCCATGGAAGTAAATACCGTGAACAACTCTATCTAAAGCCTGAAGGGGGGTTAACGCACGAAACCGAACGGCAGGTCTAAGGCAGGATTTCTCCCCGGTTGGATCTGCAGCCGTGAGCGGGCCAAGAGCCCTGCTCCCCTCGAGCACAACCGGGCACAGCCGTGCAGCTCCAGGCTCTGAGGAAAACGCACGAACCACGCGGAATAAATCAACAGGGGAAAACAAACAAGCAAAGGAACAAACAAAACCACTTAAAAGCTGGGCCGGACGGTAAGAAACCACAGAACCCCCCTCATTTCATACCTGCTACGCTGGCTCTGGGCTTCCCCCTCCGCGGAGGCACCCGAGACCCCCCGGCCAGGCCGCCCCGGAGCTCCGC